GGAGCAAATTTTATAATCTTACTAAGATAAACCTGAAGAAACAATATTCCTTGAGTTGGTTCTCAGTACCTTAGGTTCACTGTGAAGTCCAAAGTAAAGCAATACCAGGAAGAGTTCATCAATGGAGAAAATGTGCCGTGAAGAAGGACAGTAGAAAAATCTCTCCTTACCGCTTGTTGACAGTTCATTCCAAGGTCCCCTTTCTCTCCTCGAACTACTTTCATCAGACAATGTAGAGTTCGCCCTTTTCGATGTAATCCAGAACAGTGGTGTTCAATTTCCCCACGACAGCTCAAGATGATCTCAGGGCTCAGAGAAAAGTCTTCCATTAACATGCGCCGATAATCTAACATCTCGCCCTGGCATTCACTGCTTACTTGTCTCCCTAAATTAGGAAACACACCGTACAATGGAGAGTAAGCATTAAGATTAGAATCACTACATTTAAAAGTTGTTGTTAGTTGCCACTAAGTTGATCCCAACTAATGGGAACCATATGGACAACAAAATGAGCAGCATCACAGCATGCATCACCTTTACAATCGTTGGCATGCTTAAATCCACTCTTGTACCCAATTTGTATCTTCAGTGCCTTTCAACTTTGGGGACTCATCATCCAACACTATCCTGCATGATTTTCTGTGTGACTGTTTAATTGGATAATTTTCACAAGTAGACAAAACAGGGCTTTGCTCTTGGTCTTAGACTAGAAGCTCTGTTGAAACCTATCCATCAGGTGTAATTGTGCTGGTTATTTAAAATACCATTGGTATAACTTACAGCATCATAGCAAAACATAATCCACCACAGTACAACAAACTGACAAATTGTGGTAAATAATAAAAGCACACATTTCTTATTCAGTCATGAAGAGATACCGTTTATACCATGGATAGGCCAAGTTTTTCAGCACAATTTTAATGCAGTTTTTGTGGTGAAATTAGGTCCCTCGGCGATATTGGGATCGGCTTATACTCGGGTACATAAGGTATGCTCTGACACATGCTACAACATGGATGAACACTGAAAAGAGTCTGTTGAGTGAAATAAATCAAGACACAAAAACACAATTACATAGAGCTCAAAGTCTAAGGGGTTATGGGAAAGCATGGTGGGTGGAAATGGGGACTATTGCTTAAGAAGTGCCAAGTTTCTGTTAAATGATTAAAAACTTTAGAAATGCCTAGTATAGAACATGGTGAATCAATGTTGTTGAGCTGTACCTGTGAAAATGGCTGAAATGAACACTTTTCTACATATATTGTACACACACAAAAAAAGGGTAAGTTTCTGCCTAGAGTTAAATATACTAGTCATGCTATTTCCTACTGAAAAGCTTAGAGCTACAACTTGGCCCAAAAAAGGGCTGATGGTCTAGAGCAGCAGTTCTTAACCTGTGGGTCACAAACCCTTTGGGGGTCGAATGACCCTTTTCACAGGGGTCGCCCGATTTGTAACAGTACCAAAATGACAGTGATGAAGTAGCAATGAAATAATGTTATGGTTGGGGGTCACCACCACATGAACAGCGTGAGGGAGGCTGAGAACCGCTGCTCTAGAATCTATGGTTCAAACTAGAGATCTCCTCCACCTCCACTCTCTTTTAAATTGTTGTATCTAATATAGCTACAATAAGTACACTTGCTCAATGCCATAAACAGATTTTATATTACTCAACTAACAACACAAATGAGTCATCAATGGAAAGATTATCAATAAGGCTAATTATTTGCATAAAAATCGAAGCCAAAGAACAGACCCTGCTGGTTCACAGTCAGAAGGGTACAGATGGCAGTGGATGCCCAACATCCATGTAAATTAAGCCTTTGGCAAATCCTGTGTGGCCACAGTACAGGGGTACGAATAGCCTTATTATCAGATGAGGGCATTATGAAGTCTGTTATGGCACATAGAACTAAGCTAAACTGGAATACTTTACCATTTGATCTCCCTTTTGACCCATTTTAAAGTTGTTTTTACTATTTTCTGCTTTCTTCTTGATTGAAGTTTGTTTTTGTTTTCTCGTTGTTGGTTTTTTTGGGTTTTTTTTTGCATTTCCCTAAGCATTTTGTATTTCCAGTATTTTTTCTTTTTTCTTTTAAATCATTTTATTGGGGGCTCATACAACCCTTACTACAATCCATACACACATCAATTGTGTAAAGCACATTTGTACATTCGTTGCCCTCATCATTCTCAAAACATTTCCTCTCCACTTAAGCCCCTGGCTTTAGGTCCTCATTTTCCCCTCCCTCCCCGCTCCCCTCTCCCTCATGAGCCCTTGATAATTTACAAATTATTATTATTTTGTCATATCTTGCCCTGTCCAACGTCTCCCTTCACCCACTTTTCTGTTGTCCGCCCCTAGGGAGGAGGTCACATGTAGATCCTTGTAATCAGTTCCCCCTTTCCAACCCACCTTCCCTCCACCCTCCCAGTATCACCACTCACACCACTGGTCCTGAAGGGATCATCCATTGGTCCTGGATTCCCTGTATTTCCAGTTCCGATCTGGACCAGTGTACATCCTCTGGTCTAGCCAGATGTGTAAGGCAGAATTGGGATCATGATAGTGAGGGGGAGGAAGCATTTAAGGACTAGAGGAAAGTTGTATGTTTCACTGTTGCTACACTGCACCCTGACTGGCTTGTCTCCTCCTGGCGACCCTTCTCGAAGGGGATGTCCTGTTGCCTACAGCTGAGCATTGGGTCCCCAGTTTGTACTCCCCCTCATTCACAATGATAAGATTTTTTGTTCTTTGGTGCCTGATACCTGATCCCTTCGACACTTCATGATCACACAGGCTGGTGTGCTTCTTCCATGCGGGCTTGGTTGCTTCTGAGCTAGATAGCCATTTGTTTATCTTCAAGCCTTTAAAACCCCAGATGCTATATCTTTTGATAGCCAGGCTCCATCAGTTTTCGTCACCATATTTGCTTATGCACCCTCTTTGTCTTCAGCAATCGTGTCAGGAAGGTGAGCATCAGGGAATGCCAGTTTAATAGATCAAAGTGTTCATGCATTGAGGGAGTACTTGAGTAGAGGCCCAATGTCCATCTGCTACCTTAATTCTAAACCTATCGATATATGCCCATAGATTTATTTCCCCATCATCATATGTAAATATATTTACATATGTACATGACCCCTATAAATGCCCTTTGCCTCCTAGTTCTTCATTTCCTTTTACTTTCCTCTTGTTCCACTATCATGCTCAGCCTTCATTTGGGTTTCAGTAATTCCTCTCGGTTACAATGCCCTTAATCAAGCCCTACCAGGCCTCTTACCCCCTCCTTGCCACCGATTTTGAATCATTTATTGTTCCCTTGTCCCTGGGTTTGTTAACACCATTTCTTTCCCCCACTTTCCCCTCTCCCATGTCCATGGGTCAGACTTTATGGGAAATTCTTTCTTCTATTACTGTTAAATTCCTAATATCATTACTGTTTAATTAACCTCACTCAATCCTTGCAAACCTTCAGATGTGAGTTTTAAAAATAAGGAAAATGTGTACAAATATACTTGATAAAACTGATGTATAGATTGCTATAAGAGCTCTAAGAGCACCCAATAAAATGATCTTTTAATTAAAAAGATAAATAGGGAAAATGGAGAGATCAAGAAATGTAGGAAATGGTCAATCCATCAGTTATTTTATTGATAGACCATATTTGAACCCATGTCTCACTGACTCAAAGCCACATACGAAATAATGCTACCCTTACTTTCCTGAAATGCATTCAAAATTCTTGAGTGATAATATATTGACTTTTTAATTTTTTATGCAAGAAAGTTAAAACAAAAAAAGGAACTGGGGATTGCTGAAGTAACAAGACTTAAGGATATCAATTCTTTAGTTCCTAGAGTTGTGGTTACAAAGAAAGGCTCCTTTAGTGAGAAGGCAAGAGAGTCGAAATAGGAGGAAGTTAACAGTTGTAGGTGTGACTCAAAAACAAAGCACAAAGAATACAAAGAAGCGAACTCTTACCTCTGTGTACCGCAGACTCCAAACACATTAGAAGGTAAGAGAGTCTGGCTTCCCGGGAGCGAGGGAGGTTTTCCACGTTGCACCGGTATTTCTTCAAGTCACTCTTACAGGATTTGGCTAAAGAATAACTGACTTTATAATCCTGGGCAATCAGCTTTTGGCGGGTTGTCAGTGCTTCTCGACACTGAGGAAAGAGAGTTGTTTGACTCACCTGTCACATGTGGCTTTGAGGCAATATAGGGACCTCCAGCCAAGTACATTGCATGTCTCCAAGATTGTGGCTATTATCCAAATACTGATCTTAAACTTTGGGGTTACAAGCGTGCTTTAACTAGTCTGCAACTGGTAAACTAGCATAACCATTTGGAGGTTCCATGTTATACAAATACAATCAGTAGCATTATTCAATAGTAGTCTATTAATAGTACTACTATTTTTTTACTCTTCAAGAGTATTATTAGTAGCTTAAGTTATTTAGCAGTATTAATTAATAGTATTTTACACAGGAAAGTAAGGTTATGATAGTACAACCCAAGAGTTATAAAAGATTCTTGCATTCATCTAGGGAGAGAGGACTAAAAGTCACGAGACAGCTGCTACAAACGAAATGGCACATTAGTCTGGTCACCCTAAACTTCTTGAGTTTGTAGAGGAGGCCTCAGTGTGGCTGTGATTCAAAATTCTCCCATTCTATTTTCAAAACCAGGCTACCTATTGCCTCAAAAATTAGAGCTTTGCTTTCTCTTTTAAGCCCACTATGCTTTGGCTCACTATCTAAGGATAACACCTCTGAAATGTGTCTTAGTCATTATATTCTAGGTCTTAGCTTATAAAAATAGTGTTTGAGGTTTTGCAAAAGCTTTTGAGGAGTGAATAAAATATTGGTTTATTTCAAAGTAACACTTACTTTTTCACTCATGGACTCTTCAAATTTGTGGTTAAAGAGGCACTTGTACACTCTACCTTCACCAGCTTGTGTCTATAAGATAGAACACATACAATATTATTAGCCAGGCTACTATTATATGCAAGGCTCTATCCACAATCGCATATAACAGAATTGGGCCTTTAGATAAATGACTTGGCCACTTTAAATATTCAGCAGCTTTTGGAAGACGAGTGACTGCAATAAAGATGAAAACTTCCTCTCATAATCTTTGCTTATTTGCTCCAAGATAACTCAAGTTATGAAATTGAGACACGCATAAAAGTGAGTTTCCCTTTTCACAATTTTATGCCAGAGTCAAGAAAACTCCGTAATCAGTGGCTCTGATGGCGGCAGACGTTAATTCTCAGGGCGCAGTGGACGTACACACAACAGCTCTCAGTGCTTCCTTTGTTTTCAGGGCAGAAACTCTTCTATGTGAAATTCGAGATGTCCTATAGGGTCTGCAGGCAGTAATCAAAGATGTTTTCAAAACTTAAGCACCCTGCCAGGTAAGTAATGGTGGTTAAGTTAGCTTAACCAAGTTAAGCAAGTGTGTGCCTGTATTTGCATTTTGATCGTAACCGTTGATGCATGTGTACATCTCCTGGTTGTACTATAGAAACACATTAAATTTAGTAGAAACACCTTGATAATATTTTAATAGTTTGAAATGTTTATTTTTCTGATTGAGCCAGCGTATTATATTCTTGCCTGTCAAAATATTCATGGCTTTTGGACTTTGAATTGGTAAATATTCATGATGTGTGGGGGAAAAAATGCATGAATCCATACTGTGTAACCTCAACCTCAACCTAAAATTGTATGCTCATTTATATACATACATATCAAACTGTAACTATCAAATCATCAAGATGACTCTGGATGGCTTGTGTTCTTTGCTTTTCAGTTTTATATAATGCACAAAAAAGATTGAAAAGGAAAAAAAAGTGATTTTTAAAATTTGCATAAAGTCCCCATTGCCTACACACTAAAGTTAACTTTTTGACACCTCAAAAACAAAAAAAACAAAAACAAAAAACTTAACATCTACTACATATTCTTCACCTGATTTTAAATACATGTATGTGCAAAATTTTAGAAATGGACTAGATTCAAATAAGATTCTTTGGTAAAATTGGAGTATATATAAAACTGACTTTCAGGAACTGAAATTAAGAGAGTAGAAAAAAATACTGTGTGGAGAGACTGTTGGAAGTCAAATGCCAACTAGAGTTAAGGCATGTAATATCATTTTCTGCTACTCCAGGATCAAACGCACTCTCCATCAGAGGCTTTTCTACATGTGACGGTTTGTTATAGTTTCTCTCTTGGAACATACTTTTTAAAAGGAGGGAAAGAATTACATGACTCACATTTTCACAAAAACGTTCCCTATCATCACGGCATGCAAAATATAAATGCCGGTCTAAATGAAAATCATCCGATGACAGCTCAGCCACCCGGAGAATGGCTTTCTTGCAGATTTCAGAGACTTGAGTCTTGGGGTCGCTTTCTTCCGCTTCCTTCACCAGGCCTTTCTCCAAGCATGACACCACCTCGCCTTGTGAGTGTGCATCCTAGAAGAACAAAGACGTCCCATATTTAGAAGTCCCTCTACAAAGAGTTTCAAATAAACATCATTTGGTTATAGAAATGTGAAAAACTCTGCAACATGTAGTTGTTAACTTATTGATGTTCTGTTGGAGCCTTGAGACTTCCAGCGGGAGCCATCACCTGCTGACGTCAAAGAAAGTGCTTTTAATAATCTTCCACTCGCATAGTACAAATGAAAATAGTGATCGTGGGAAATTCAGTACAGTCAACACTGGAAGTAGGACCCTGAATATTTTAAAGTTTGAAATATTCGGGGGAAAAGAAAGAAAAAATCTGTCCAATGTTTATGTCAATATTGAAACAACACCGCAGAAACCTCTGTTCCTCTCTGGGTGCTAGACATTTCTCAAATAATAGCCAAGTTAAACAAAAAAACCCAAACAACAAAAATACACTGAAAAAAGATATTATACAGACCACTTTGTGCCCCTTTTCTGCTTTATACCGTCCCCAAACACCGTAACATATATAATCTCTAGCGTAATAATTTTCACTTTGCTATTTTGCATTTATCTTGATAAATGTAATAAAATCACTTCCATTCATACAAGCTCCTTTTGAGAGTTTTCTAAACTATAATTACCTTTAATAGTACATTGTATCATCTGCACAGCAACAAACATTTAATTACCTAAAATGTGATACTTTTCCTATGTATTTTCTATTCAACAGTCCTAATATTCTAAACTCAGAAAGTAAGTTTCAACAACTTGAGAGGTTCTTTTTAAACCCTGTAGTTCCCCAGACGCTATGGGAGAAAGTCTATTATACATAGAGGGAGTAGGTCTCAAGAAACACAGACTTCAAATGTACTTGGACTAAAGGCAACGATGCTACAGGTAACGTTGCAGTACAATATGGAAAAAAGCCTGTCTGTTGGTCTAAGTCATACATACTCATCAATAAATACTTATGTTGCTATGGTTCATATATACAATAGAATACCACAAACAAAGGAAGAAACAAAGAAGTAAAGTGGTTTTCTATCTCTTGGTATGTACAGCCTTCACCACAGCAAGTCAAAAAGGTAATGTACAAGACAGAATACATAAAGTATGCTATCTTTTATGAAAGAAAGGTTGGAGACCTAAGATAATATATTTGCATAAATATATATTTGAAAATTATGTAAAAATGAAATGAGAGTGACCCCAAAAGGACTATGTATTATACTATATAACCAGATGTTTGCGCCTTTCTATTCTTGATCTGTACTTGCCCCTCAAGTTTTCCTGACTCTGGTTCACTTAGAAATGGCCAATCTATTTCTCTTTGCAAAGGAAAAACAAATCTATGATAGCAAAGATTTCTGTAGAAGCACACAAAATTATTAGAAGCTTGATTTTATGTTGTAAATGAATACTGTCCTACGCTAAATTTTAATATCCTATAACTTATGGAAATGACCTCTAGCAATTAGCTTTTAGGTACAATTTTTAAAAAATCAAAAAGACTATAAAACCATACATTTGCCTATGAGAATCAAAGTAAGGGCTTGCTTTGATCAGAAGATCTGATGGATTGTGCATCAGACTTTGAAAATCATTGTTCTGAAGCATCAGGAAGAGGTTGAAAATAATAGCATGATAATCAACAATTAGATCAGACTTTAATCCTGGCATTAAATAGTAAAAAGAAGATTCCATGTAAAAAGCCTGGCTAAGTGTTTACACTGTATATTTAGAGTATATGATTGTTTTCAACATGTCACCAGTGAGATTAAATATTTAGGGCAATTATATTTCTTAATGGCTCCATTTGCTTCAGATTAGATTTGAGGAGGCAGCAGCAGCAGTTTGAGAAGCTTCCAAAGACTAAAGATTTAATTTTAATTACATCAATTGTGGTACCACATATTGATGTTAGGTTATAACATCACTTCCATTAGATGTTTCCATTCATTGTAACTTTCACATAGAGAATTCCTCAAACATATTTCAATTCTCAATCCCTAGAGAATCAGCCTTTCACTGTAGCCCATTTGAGCTGATATGTATTCAAATATTTGATAA